AATTGTTAACATCATCACTTTAATTGCTTTCTTTTGTTATACAACTATAACTATAATTATAATATAAAACACTTGCACTCACTTCCTCAAACTACACACAAACAATTTAAATTAAACGAAACTCAAACAACTTCATTTACATCCGCTCGCAATTGTTTCACTTTGCAAACTATTCGGTAATTTAATTTTGCAACAGCATCGAACCTGAAAAGCGCCACCATTATTACTAAACAAAAACAACAACAGCTGAGGCAATAATAACAATAATAATAATAACAACAACAAAATGACTGTAAATCAAGTAACAAAGTTTGGTTGTTGGTCACGATTAAGCTTACGAGCTTTGCCGAATTTTATTTGCTACTTTTTTCTCTGCTTCACTTTTGTTCTCTTTTGTACTCTAAATAATTTTATCATAAAATGGAAAATTCGAGCCCTTTTCTTTGTTTGTCATGTTGTTGCATACATGGGTTATATGTAGAAAAGTGCTTGCACACATTACACTGTCCGTGTGTGTTTTTTTATAATATTTATAGTTTTGATAAGTATTTTGGGTTTGTTTCAACGATGAATTTATATATGTATGATACAAGTATGATATGTGAAGTAGTTTTTAAAATATATTTAATTATTTAAAAAAAATTAATTTCCTATAATCATAATGTATACGTATTTATGACTATATAGAATTTTGTTAAGTTCTTCGTAAGATTTTTGGTCCTCTACGAGTTGGCGACGACTACTGCATACGAATGAACCACGAAGTGTACGAGGTTTATCACGATTGATATAATTCAGCGAATTAATATCCAGCGGCTCCGCTGGCTTGGTCATGTCGTGAGAATGGATAAAAATTCTACAGCGAAAAAGGTGTTTGAAGCAATAGTTGGCGGAAGAAAATATAGAAGTAGACCGTGTCTCCGGTGGAGTGATTAAGTTGAGAGAGCACTAACTGGACTTGATGTACGAGACTGAAGAAGGCGCGCACGCAGCAAAATACAAAAGCATACATTTATTTATTTATTGTTTATCTTAGCTGATATAATCTTAATTCTTTATTACCCTCGTTTATATCGTGTAATATATATATAAATATATTTACATATATTAAAATACATTTGCTTCAAAGACGAATCAGAATAGAATCAAATTTTTAAATTGTTGATTCTAAATACAAGAAACTATATAGAATCAAATTATTCATTTGTTGATTCTAAGTACAAGAAACGATGTAGAATCAAATATTTCAAGTGATGATTATAAATACAAAAAACTATTGCATTTACACCTTATTTAAACAATATGTACGTTGTTAGTGTTATTTTAATATTTAAGAAAAAATAATATTTATAAAAATTACAACTATCAGTAAAAATTTACAACCCCTTATATTCCACCCGTATGTCATTATCTATATAATACATGACAGCAACAATAAGTCAAATAACAAAAACTATTTTAACACATGTATAAAAATTAAGAAACCATAAGAACCTCCGATGAATTGTACCGCACCAAATCAAGTTCGCTAAACCGTTACCATACAGAACACTCTCACTTTGCAACTTTTGATTAAACCAAAATTTGAGCTTTTAATTCCACTCAATTTGTACAATTCCATTCTCTCAATTCATTGTAGTGCAATAACAAAAACAATAACGTCAAATGCACACTTATGCATTTTGTATGAGATTAGGTGAGTGCACAAGAGTTCAAAACATTTGTTTTTAGTTGATAATAACAACAAAGTTGATAACAAATGCAAGTGTTTTTTAATTCAATATATTTAGAAAATTGTTTTAATTGAATATTTTATTAATAAATTTATTTATAAAACGAATTAAAAATATGTTAATAGGTAACCTGAAGTATATAAAATTAACATTAATTACGTATCAGTTTATTGTGTTACTCATACGCTGAGTATAATTACCCATACACATTTAGACGAAAATAAATAAAATTGCTTCATTAAAGTTCCTATATTTAATGTTTTTATTTACTCATATATAAAATTAACGATGCTAAAATTATAACATACTACAATTTAAGTAAATTAAAGTAAATTAATATTACACAATTTTCGTGCAGGAACTGAAAATCATGTTGCATTCAGTGACACAATTTTCGTACTCCACTGCTCTACTAGCGTGTAAGTTTACTATCTCTTAGTGAACTGGACTAGTGTTGAAGGTAAGGTGTACGCTTGAACTCGTTGAAATAAATGCCATTCAGAGTGCACACAACGGTCTCATTGTGTTACTTAATTTGACTAGTTGGTATCTAAGACTGGTTTATTTTTTATAAAATTTTTTATTAATTCGTCTTGTAGTAGCAACTTGTTTGCTTCAACTTTTCCAAAGATATTTTCTACATTTTTTTATACAATAATTTCAAATTTTAATCTCTGAATAATAATTTTATAATAATTCTTTATTCAAAAAATATTTGCACCAAAAAATATTATATATTAAATATATATATGCATTAAATATATAAAATGCAATATATATAAAATAAATACAAATGAAAATATATATTTATATATTCTCATTTCTATGTTTCATATTTAATACCCTATTGACACAATTTGATTAAAGACGAAAATACTCTACAAAAAGTAATTGCAATTTTTTTAAACAAAGTTCCATAATCTTATACTTAAAATATCTTAAATTATTATTTTGTTGTCAAAGTCTATTGAATACCATCAACAAGCACCAATGATGTATTTGCATTATTTTACAGTTTAAAAGTTGTTGTTCGAACTATCCATGTTATTCTTAAACCATTTTAAAGATACACATCTTTAAAATCTTCCACAGAAAACATCTACACATATTTGTGTAAACATTGTAAAATATATTCGTAAAAAATATATTGGATGTATATCCAAAAGTAATGTATATAAAACCTGGACTTGCATTTGGATAAAAAATAGACAAATAAGACTCACGAAACAATAAAGAACGAAAAATGATAAACTTCAACTCGTCTTGATATATTGTAGATCTAGATATATTTCATGGTAGGACTGTTCCTGTACTAAACATAAAAAATACATTAATTTTCCTCTAAAATATTTTTATTTGATGGTAAGTTGTCTACAAAGAACTTCATATCAAATCCATGAATTAAATTCTAAGATTAACTGGTGCTTTCATAACGGGAGTTACCGTGATACTATTTTTGTGTCAACCAAACAACGATTAAACACTACACAACTGTTATTGAAAATAATTGTCTCCTAGGACTCCATAATCTTATCCTAGTTTAAAGGGCAAAGTACTTCATAGCAAATCTAAGTATAAAATTTAAAGATTGGCTGCTTTTATATTAATGAGGGCCATTGTAAGATTGTTCTTATGTTAAAAATAAAAAAAAGAACTCGATTAAGCACTCGACAGCGGAAGAAGACCAATTTGGTTTAAGAGTCGCCTAACTGATGTTAGATTATATACAAATGAGATAATATGAAACCATTTATACAATTCAAAGATCAGTTACTATTTTAAGACTAGAAAGTTTTTAACTATTTATACATATTTTTAGTTTGCTTAATTTCTATATATTTTTTTAACTAAAAATGATCTTCATTTCAACCGAATCCAGCATTAACTTATACAAGGGGCTTAGGAAACGGCACTTTAGAGGCAGATATCTTGAAAACAGTTCTAAGATTTATAAATCGTCCATAATTACTATAGGGTATGAGGTAGCCTATATAACTATAATAATAACAGCCAGGTCTACATACCGGACCCACTTCTTATTTTTCTTGTAACCCACACGGATGTGTCAAGCAGAAATCATGAAAGGAATTAAATGACAAATACATGGGTTAGGATATGGTTGGGTATTGGTTGTGTGAAAGAGGATTGATTTATTAGGACAAGATAGTGAATTGGGGGTTAGGTAAGATTGGAATTGACGTCAAGCAGGATCAAGACGGAGCATCCCAGCTACTTTTTTGAGCGGGTTCTAAGGTCGATTAGAGTAGAGTTTGTGTGCGCTTTGGGGCAGAAAAACAGATGAATGACATCATGTGAGTAGAATTGCGGTTGAGGCGCACATTGGGAATTGACGTTTTTATGCGCTATAAGTAACCCTGTTTAACACTTAGGTATATCCTAATCTCAATTGAGCTAGTGCAGTTCTTGCTGCACGGGAACTGCAAGGGTTCTTTCTTTCTGTGAAATGTTAGGCGGGAGCATATTGAGAACTTTGTTGCAGTACAAACTGGTGTCAAAGAGTATAAGTTCACATTTATATGCCACCTCACTATTGTTAACTCTGCTCCAACAGGTGACGATGCATACATTTTTCAATGGTGGACTGGATGAAGCCAAAAGAATGTCCATATGTGTGGCACGCGAGGAGGAGTAACGTGAAGAGCTATCAATTATGCTTTTTCACTAGAGTATTTTATTCCATTGTTTCTTACAGAGTTGTGTGGCTATACCGGAGATGCATAGACTTCAACAGGACGTTCTATTGCCACATGTCGAGTTCGACAACCAAACACCGTTTAAAACTCTCAAAAGGCACTACACAAATAGATCTCTGCGGACTTCTACAACAACATACAACTATACTAATAATTAATTATTCTTAATTAATTCATATTTAATTACAGAATATTAAATAAATTAAATTATTATGTTAATGTGGAAAACAAGTAATAGAATAACATACAATTTGGCAGAAGTTAGGCATATGCAGTATATTTTTAGGGATTATATATAGGTAAAATAGGTAAAATGTTTTTCAAGCATATATTTTATAAAAATATTTAGGTTAGATTAGAAATTCGTTATTATACTATTATTTTCAAATTATGAAATAAAATGATGAAAAACAATCAATTAATATTAAAACAAACAAATCATAAGCAAATCAAACACAATATTTTTTTTCATGAACTAAAACGTTTTTTAGCATAATTTATTTAAATTTACCTATACTTAAAATAGGAATTCATAGGTTTTAACAAAAATATACCAAATTTAACAAGCCTAATTAATACATTTTTTATTTTGTGCATCGCTCAGCAATTGCAGACAAATCTTATCAGTATATCTTAAAAAATATATTTTTAGTCATAATAAACATTCATTCACACTTTCAATATATAACAAAAACATGCAATTATTTTAATATTATTTCATAGCACAAAATAGAGATAATCATCAGCAGTGCCATCTGATGATATCTCCACACGAAATCAGTATTTTGGTTTTGATCATCGTTTCTAAGTAGTGGTTTGCTGTAGATACAACTATCATCGGAGGCGTATTTTATTTGATATTAACATATATTGTACTTTATTTCATAGTTATAGTTATTTGGCATTAATTCAGCTTTTTGTGAAAGCATATACTTTTGCTTTTTCTATTAGTTATATTTCTTCTACTTTATTCACAACGTTGACTATTATTTTAGTTCTTCCTTTGGAGGTCTTTTCAATAGATGTGCGGACACATTTTCATAAACTACAAATGTCATCATACAAGCTGGTACAACACGTATCATACTTGGTTTTACACCCTTGTAAAAGCCTTTTAGACCCTCGTATCTAGAATTAAAAGAAGAGTAAAAATTGAAAATTAATCATTTCCATTGAAATATGCTTACCCTCCATTGATTTTATGTCTAAAGTTATTAATAAGCTTAGGTTCGTTTAATGTTAGGTATAAGAATTCAGTAAGCAAAGAGATTCTGCAAAAACTTTATACAATATAGTTAAAATTAACATAAACAATTAAAGAATTCATTTAAAATTATATGTATTTAATACGTAATATATACATATATATTTATATATGCATCAAATATTATACTTGCTGTGGCTGTTTAACTTTTTTATTTATTTTTAAAAAAATAAATAACTTACTGCATTGTTAATAGTACAGTTGCTGAGAAAAGAAAACTATTCAAATTAAAAAAAAATCATTATAGTAAAAACTATAATGTCAGTTGTATAAATATGCACAAACGGCCGAAGAAAATGCTCTAACTTGCATCACTAAAAACAGAATTAAAACAAATTTAAATAAACTAAAGTTGGCTTTCAACTTTACTTGAAATTTAATTTGTTGCTTCAAATTTCATTTTTGTGCTTAATACAAGAAATTGCATAAAATTTTGAAATTACAACCTTTAAATAAATTTAAAATTATGTAGAATCTTTTTGCTTAAGGAATATCTTATAAAGATTATGATTGCTTATGAACTAGTTTTTTCAAAATTATTTACGGTTCTTAAAATTAAATATGAAAACAATGAAGTGATTAAGTTTCTTATATTTAAATATAATAATTTAGGTGAGACTGCTATAATGAATATATTTTATTTTTCTTAATTACAAAAATAAAAACTATAAACAATAATATAAATGTATTAAGTATATTAGAGCGCTTTTTCTGTTTTTTATTTATACATATCTTTTTTAATTATTGCATTTTTTTTCTTGACCTTTTCATACTTATTACTTAAAACCTTTAAGAAATGAAAATTATAAGGTTTTTCTTTATATTTGTATGACAAATTCAGTTAAATACATGAAAAATGAATTTTCTAAAATTAATATTTGCTATATTGTAATCTTAGATTATTTAATTTATTTTTAGTTTGCATGAAATGAGACTGCAATTATATTTCAAAAGGCCACAAAATAAAACAAGGTTTTGAATAGAATTTTTAAAAATTGTTTAAAAAAATAATATTTTAATATTTAAAACAGAGCTGCCAAACGTTTAACAAATATTATTATATTTGGCAAAGCATTTTTTTTTAATAACTATTTTTTTTTTTTTTTATTTTAATAAATAGTTCTATATCACCTTAAAAACATTTTACGATCTATGGAATATAATTGTACGCAAAATATATTTGACGAAAAAAAAATTTATTCATAATCAATATTTTTAACTAAAGAATAACTAAAATAGTATTAATGAAAATTTTAAAAAGGTATAAATTTTCTTTAATTACTAAATAATTTATACTAAATTATGTAATACAAAATAATTAATAACAATAATACAAAATAAATAAATAAATCTCGTTAATCCATTGCATTTTCAATATTCATTTTAACACACACTTTTATATCTTTTCTTTATTTGCATTTGTCTTTCTCTTCAATGAAATCAAATTAATCAAATTGTCATGTCTTACTGTCTTAACAATTAATCAATTAATATATCTGCATGATTATTCTTTTATTATCGCCTTATATTCTAAGCTTAATATGTATAAAAATTTTATGCGTTTAATTGCATTGTAGATTCTTTACTATTGAATTTAAAAATAATTTTATAAAATATATGTTAAATGTAATTTAGTTGCTACAAGTATGTTATATTTAATTGGTCAACTTTTCCCATATCAGCATGACCATACATATATTCGGTGTGACATGCACTAAATATGGTACTAGTCCCTTATAAAAACCACGCATACGTTCGTACCTCCAAGTTTGCTTAATACAATCCCAGGTGCCTGTGTAGCTGTGGTGATGGTCCTGTAAACGCGCACGGATTACTTGATATGGATATGTGGTAGCAGCAGCAATCAGCTTCGAGATAGCAGCAAATGCCAAATAGTCTGATGTAGCCTAAAAATATAAACAAAAGTGGTCAAATGTTAGTAAATTCAGTAAAATTTTAATTATAAAAATTAAATAATTAAATAAAACGCTAAAATAACTAATAAACTACTAGGTTATCTTAATATTTACGACTGTTGTTAATTATAAACTCAGTAATTTTCCAAAGAATTTTAATTTCGAATCTACTGATTATTTAATCTAATTAACAAAATATTCAATTTTCTTATCAATTGTAAAATAAATATCGCGATGTAAACAATATTCATAATATACTTTGTAAAAATATAAAAATGGTTTCTTTAGATAAAATATTATTTTTAGATGTTTTGTTTCTTTAAAAAAATTACTTTAAAAATTAGTAACCTTATTTACAAATCGTTATATACGTCTATATATATAATCATTAAGTTTTAAATAAATTCGGCAAATTGTAAATAAAATAAAAATTACACTATCATCAAAAATAATTATTATTATAGCATATTAATGCTAATCGTTAAGTACAACACAAGGAAATAAATAACATTTTTGGGAGGATATAAGAAAACTAGTTCAAAGTACAAAAAAAACTCAGACCTCATTAAGTGAACTATAAGGAAAGTCATCAGCATTATTATTGCTTTTACATATTTTATTTGCTTATTATATTTGTGTATAAGGCAAATTTATTAAAGAATTTTTCCAATCTAAGAAATCACATCTTCAAACTTAGATCTGTACATTTAAAAACAAGTAGTATAATATCAATAATTATCATGCAAACATTCAATGTGTGCCCCATATGTGTCTTCTTCTCATGTCACAAATCTGTGTTCCTGTTTTAATACACATATATAATTTAAACCCTCTTAATCTATTGCTCCGGTACATTGAATTCAATATGTTGTTGTTGTAGTAACCCGTTGGAACCTGCTTGTGTAATCCCTTTGGGGGTATTGAACACCAATATGTCATTGAGATCGACGAGTGGTTCTTGGACGTAGACCCGGCCCCTCTTGGAACCTAAGTCGCTATGTTATACCAGACACTCACGCATACATTCATCTCTTATCCAAAATAACAATATTTTCTTCTCACTTAATCTTCAACCAATCACAATTAACCCATGTAGTGCAATTTTTCCATGTTTCTTGCTGTATAGATCTCCATGAATTACAAGAATTTGGGAAAATATCTTTTAAATGAGTTTTTGAAAGTATTGCAATTTCCAACAATTGAGTTTCTATAAAGTGAAAATTAATTTTCAAATGTCATAGTATAAATACTAATAACACCTCAAAGATTTTTTTTAAGGTACTAAAAAAAACACTATTTTGCATTTTAATTTGCTGTTTTTAATGAATGTTGACGTCATATTATCAGATCAACAAACCTAAATTCTCTTTAATATCTTATCGCATTAAAGATAAGCGAACATACTGAAAATATAATAATGGATAATGAAATAAAACATTAAAGATCAAATATTGTTGGCGTAGATAACCTTTTTATGGGTTGTTATTTGTTCATTAGATTAAAAGAATGGATCAACCAACTTTATAAAATACGATTGATATTAATACATTTTTTGTTTAGAGTGAAATCTACAAATAAATCCCACAAAATTATTACGACTAATTAATAAAATAATAACCAAAGTATATATAGTAACATATAAAAACATAGTTGACATTTTACAACAAAACATAAAAATTATAGAAAATTTTTATAAATAACTTCAACCTTCCATAAGATCAGAGTTCTAAATATGGGCATTACAGTGAATAATTGATAACTGCTTGAGTTACTTACTGAACTACATTATATTATCATATGATGATATTTAGCACACATATTATTAACATATATTCAGAATTTTAAACAAAAGGACATAAACACTTAAGATTTCATTAACTTTTTGTATTGAATGAACTTCGGCAATAAAATATACTTCAATCAAAACAAATAAAATTTAAAGTATGTTTTTGTATATAAGAAATCTGTTTATCAATGTAACTGATAAATAAAACAGCTTTTTTTT